TTTAGCAGCGCCTTGCTCTGCCAGCACTTCTTCAAGAGGACCAGGAGGATGTCACAAGCTTCTGCGCTGCCGTGGAGTACCTTCGGGCCCAGATGCCTTCCCCCATTTGAGCTTCCGCAACACCTTGTCCAGCCCTGCCCCGGGGAAGTCAGGTAGGGGGAATAGGTGACGGCGGTGTGATCATGGCGATGATGATGATGCTTATGATCATGATGGTGCTGCTGATGAGGATGGTGCATCTGATGATGATGATTTTTACGCGACTGATGACGATAATGATGAGCTGCGAGCCCAAAAAGTGGGCCCACCTATACCCCCGCTCTCGGAGAAGTCCTCGAGCGGAAGTTGCACAACGCGGCCTGGCGTACGCCCGGCCGGCAACGGGCGAGACACCGGCGGCGCCGACCGCTGCACCTCAGAGCAGACGGTTGCCATCGTCTCTGCTCTCGGGTTACTCTCCACCAAGTTCCCGTCACGATTTCTGATTCTGCCCTGGGGCCAGTGTCCCCTCCTTTTGAGCTGTCTGAGGCCCTCCCAGGCCCTCCCAGCTGCCGTGTGAGACAACGTCGTCCAACCGTGCGGCTCTGTCACGCCGCGCTGAATGCTGAATTTGGCTGGACAATTATGCTTCCAATGTGTATTGGTGCTCTGCCCGGGCCTGGCTCCGCAGTTCGATGAGGTCCAGTGTGCTTCGTCGGATCCACGGCCTTTTCGCCTCGGCGTGTCTCGCGTCGGGAGATGATTCGGCGGCTAGCTCCATGCAGCGAGCAACGTGATGCACATGCTGATCCAGTTCTGCTGGTGGCGGGATGATCGTGCAAGCTGCCACGAATGATTGTTGGAAGCCTGCCGCAACTCCAGACCGTTGCAGGGACCGCAAGTCACGAGTCGTGGACGGTCGGACCTTCGGGACGTCAATCTAAGTCAGCACACACCGAGAAATGATGAGACGCAAACGGGATCGACCTGTCAGAAACGACTCTTCGAACAACATGCTGCCATTCCTGGTCTGTGATAAGATGGTCTAGTTCTGCGAATTTGTTGGGCGTCGGCTCACTTGTAGGATCCGTTCCCAGATCGTAGTACGTAATCATCTCCTCGAAGGGCCTGTCCAAAAATGTGTTTGCGACGATCGTTCCAAGCGCCATGCACCTGTCTGCGAGTAGATGTTAGTTGCTGGCGGCGTCGTGCGAGCTTAGAGGGTTTCCGAAAGCGTAGGGCGTAGGTCCCAACTACGTCAACCTTTTCTCAGAAGTGTGGATCAAAACGGGCATTCATAGCTCCAAATACGGGACCATGGGCCTTGCACTTGTCGACGGTCTCGTGCAACGTACTGAAGAAAGCGTCCCGGACCTCGAAATCTATAGCCGATTGCGGTGCGAATGCGAGACTACGTACATGGTGCCCCTGGGGATCCTTACCTTCAGCGTCGCGATGCGGTTGCCCACCAATGCGAAAGATATGACCGAATGCCACAACCACGGCGCTACAACAAATCCCACTCATGCGTACTCTCTCATTTGTCAGCCCCCCGGACAAAACAACAATATTGCCGTCCTGCACAAAGTATTGTGCACCAGGTATGTGCGTCTCTTGCATACACTGCATAATTATGAGAATGTGTTCCAACCTTGTGGAACCAGCTGCAATCCCCAACCCCTCGGCATTCCCGAATATCGTGTCGAACGTCGAGGCCGATCGACATTTCGAGATTGCCTTGTCAAGAGCGCGGCCGTTGGTCAGCGTCGAGGTCGATGGACGGAGGGTCGATGTCAGGGGATGTCAGGTCGACAACACCTATTGATCATCGAGGCCTGTAGATCGGAGATCGCGGTCGGTAGACATGTTCAAAGTCATTAGATCGAACATCGACGTCGATGGGCTGAGTGTCGGAACCGATGCATTAGATTGTTTGGGACGGTGGATTGGGTACCGACGGCGATGGATCGGATATCGAGACCAGTGGACAAGGTCGAGGCCAATTGTTGTTCCTGCGTTCGCTGCTGTTGTAAACTTTTCCCTGCCGCCAGAACCTCATCCGCCTCGCACTTGTATCAGCAGAAGCCGTCCGCATCAGGGGGCCGTCTTTCCCCATGCGGCTGGAAAGCTAATGCCCCAGTGCAGGACACAAGGTGGCGAAAAGATCCAGCCGCCCCCAGACAGACAGGCTCCCTGGCGACTGAAACATTTCACAGGATATGGAATCGGCCCCAGTCCATATACCTTTTTCGGGCTTTGCCAGGACCGCCTGTGAATAACAATCCTGTGTTGTTTTTGACCCAGAGGCGTAGAGAATTGCCAACTTACCGCGCGCTCGCCTGAAACCACCAATAGAGCTCGCTTTGGATTTGCGCTTTCGAGTGCAAGGAAAGACGTTTGACGTTTCGCGCCTCAGGGCCGTGCCCATCGGGTGCAGGTCACCAATATGTGTTCTGGTGACCCGTCGTTCGATATAATTCGTTGTGTTGTCCCTTCCCTCTGGTGTATTATTCTCGCCCCCCTGCCGTTCTCTCCCACTGCTCTCCACTGCGTTGGCTTGTTTACATGCGACCCGGAAGGCCCCAGCAGAGTCCGCTATTCTTGCAATTTTTGGGGGGCGGCCTTAGACCTGGTCCGATCCAACCGCTTTCCCGTTTCAGGGCCATGGGTACCGACGTCCTGGCAACGCCCGATGATGTTCTCCTCGCCCGCCGGCGAGGGCTTCGTGAACGAGGGCCGGTGCAACGCAAGGCAGCGCGACGCTTCCGGCCACTCCGTCTTCTGGCACGCCATCTCTGGACGCCCGACATGGGCACGGAAAGAACGGGTACAATGCCCAACAGCAGTTCCTGTTAATTTCGAACAGGATTCGCTGTCCACGCCGCCGCGGCCTGTGTTCATTTGAGACAGAAGGCCGCCTGCCCAACAGCGGCCGCTGTTGGTTCGGGACAACATTTGCTGTTGGGCATTGTGCCCATTCTTTCCATACCCATTTCGGGCGTCCAAACCATCGCTTTCAATCACCTGGCGATCGCCAAGATGATGCTCGATCCAGAGGGCTTCGCCGATGGCCGCAGGCCCTTCTCGTGGGCCCTAGATGTGGAGCAGGGCCAGGGGTGGCGTGAAAAGGCACTCAGATCTAGATCTGGGTAGCGCGTTAGAGGCTCCCTGTCAGGGTTGCCCCCTCGAGGCTGGAAGTTCTCGAAGCTTCTCGTTGACTCTCGGCGATCTGCCAGCCTCGGGATGCCTTCCAGCGGCTGGCCCCTCGCCGAGAGCGTTCCATGGGGTGCCCAGACAGCGTCCCGCAAGGCCGCTGGAGAGCAGAGCCATGACCCGGAAGCCAGGAGGCAACGGCAGGGGGGGGAGGCTCGTGTCCCTCCGCTCGTTGTCTGTGGTTCCCGGGTCCGTTCTTCGCTCTTTGTCGGCCCCTCGGGCCCTTCCGTCGCGCGGCAGCTGCGTGCAGGAGTTCTTGTGCTGACGGTAACCCCAGGATATAAAACAAACAGGGGGGGCGGAGGCTGCGGCGGGGAGGCATGGACCCCCAATCGCCCGATCATCGCCGCAAGGCGGCACGACGGCCCGCCCCCGCGCAGGAGCGTGTGGATCCGCTCGCGGGGGCCTGCCACCGACCCGTCGGCGTTTAGGTCGATGCTTCCCCCCCCGAGCTGGTCCCCCTCCAACGTTGCCCGTGGGAAACACACACACACACACACACACACACACACACACACACACACACACACACACACACACACACACACACACACACACACACACACACACACACACACACACACACACACACACACACACACACACACACACACACACACACACACACACACACACACACACACACACACACACACACACACACACACACACACACACACACACACACACATCTCTGTTGGAAACAAAACACAGTGAGTGTTTTTTTCCCCACAGTGTGTGTGTGTGTTTTTTTCCCACAGTGTGTGTGTGTGTGTTTGTGTGTGTTTTTCCCACAGTGTGTTTGTTTGTGTGTGTGAGTGTGTGTGTGTTTTCCCACAGAGGACGAGGCTCGAGGATCCGCTTTGGAGCCCACCGTCGCTTGTGTGCGATGGTGCTGGCGCCGCGGCGGGCACGGGTGCGCGGTGACGCGTCCGCGGATGGGATCTCCGCGCGGCGCTGTGCAGCAGCAGGAGGATCGCTTGGCATCGTTCGGACGTGTGCATTTTTCCGTCGGCGAGGGCCATCGAGGAGCATCCTTTATCATTTGGCGAAACAACCACGCACGAAACCGAAAAAAACACAGGGAATGGACGTCCGAGCGATGGCGAGATCGAGCATCGAGGATCGATGGTTCCCAATCTGGCAAATTGAGGTCGCTGGATTAAGATTCAACGTTGAGATCCCGAGCCTCGCACACCCTGCATGCCGCGCCCGCCAGGCCCCAAGTCAAGTGTGCTGGTGCTCCCTGGGTATCCTGCCTCGTGCCTTCGACTAGCGACGACTGCATGCAAGGAGCACCGCGCACCCTGGAGAGCGCTCCCCGCGGACTGCGCGCGTGGAAAAGCGGCGCACCGCCCCTCCGACCCCTCCCTCCTCCCCGCCGTGTTCTGGGAAGGCCGTCTTGCCAGACGCTCCAAGGACGTGGCGGGGAATCTGAGGGCGGCTTCGGCGGGCCCGACAACCACCCAGAGGCAGAGAAGGGGCGCCAGGGCGCCGATGACCATTGCTCGACTCAGAGATCCCCAGATGTGCATCTCGCTCCCTAGCCCTTCCCGCTGTGAGCGCCTGCAGGCTCCCCTGGAGGCCTTCCAAGGCCTGGGTGCAATGGAAGTGGCAGAGGTGCGGGGTTCTCATCGGGCTCGTCCTGGCGTTCTTTTTGCGTGCGTGGCCACATAGGGCCGTCTCGGCGATCGCCGCGGCGATGCTGGGCCCAGTTTTGATGCTGCGCGCTTTGAGGGGGGAAGCGCCGAGAAGAGGCAGGGGGTGCTCCAGCCGCGGCACGTCGCGGTGGGCGGACACGTTCCCACCCAATAGGGACGACGGCGTGGAGGTGTCGGAAGTGCACCCGCGCAAGGGCGACACGCTGCTGCATCTGATGTGCCAGAGCCAGAGCTTCGGCGAGGAGATCATTACCTCGCCCACGTCTCTATCCTTCCTCACCTCCTCGTCCTCCACCTCTGCAATGTCCTCCTCCTCCTCCTCTGCCCCTCTTCCCTCAACACACAGCTCCTCCACGACGCGCCACCAAGCGTGAGCGTGTCGTTCGGGCGGGCTGGGCGTTTCGCCTGAGGCCTCCGCAACGATCTTGAAGCGTGACGCTTTGCATGCCGTGGTGCTCGCGCACGGTCGTCGTGCTCGCAGGCATTTGTTTCACCAGTTTGTTCTTGTTGTTCTCGTGCCTGCTGTCGTGCTCGTTCCGTCGTGCTGTCTTTCTGGCCGGTTCCGATGCCGGTTCTTGTTACCGGCTCCGTCGCCGTCGTTTTACCCGTTCTCGTTCCAGCTCCAATCCCGGAGCCGTTTTTGGGCCATTTTTGGTCGCCGTTTGTTTTTTTGTCGTTTCCATTTTCAAGAGACGCTCCTTCGGAAGCGGTGAAAAAACGGCCCAGCCGTTCCCGGGGCCCACTAAGGAAGGTGTGGAGTGCGCAGGCGTATCGTTGTCCTCGCAGGCGTACTGCGGCGGCGGTGCCTTCCAGACCTTTGCTGGCCCCAGAGGCGCGTGGGTGCTCACAGGCACGCTGCTGGTGCTCGCAACTTTGCGGTGCTTTCGCAGGCGATTGCGGAGTCGAGCTGTTTCGTAGCTGACATCAAGTATCCGTGGCTTGGGCCACCTCCGCGACCAGAAGGCTCGGTCTAGATGCGCTCTTCTCCGCTGTTGTCGTTCCAGCATGTGCAGGGCCAAATAGACAGTCAAGGGGACGAAGAAGAGGGTGGAAGACGATGAGAAGGAGGGACGACAACGACGACGAGCTTTTTCGGAGGCCCCGAGGCCTCCAGAGGATCAAACAGGGTAGAAAGGTTTGCCATGGTTCGTGGTTCGTCAAGGCTGTCCTTGCGTCCCAGCCTCGGCGGTCACACTAGATCTCTGAGTTGCATGGCCTGATAGCACTCGTTCCGACGTGGGTTCATTTATGGTCGTAAATCCTTACGTGGTGTGCGGTCAAGGCGATAATTTGCGCTTCGCGCAGCCCCACCAGCCAATCCAGAACCGATGCCCCAGGGAGCTGGTTCGATCATTGCAGAGTAGGGGCAAGCATCGGGACAGAGAGGGCGAGACAGGCGTCACACTGAAGCTCTGGATGAGCCTGAGCAGCTCCTGGATTCAACCATAAGCACCGTCGCGGAACTATCGACATTGGAGCCCCGTGGACCGAGCCATCTTTTGGTTTTCGTGGGGCAGATTTGGAAGCCTTCTTGGGCCCTCTTGGGGCCTCATTTGGGGCATTTTAGAAGATGGCGGAGCCCTCTTGGGTTCCTCTCGGGGCCTCCCTCTTGGGGCCATCCTAGGGCCATCGGTCAACGAAGGGGGGTCCGAAATTAGGACTGCCCCCCTGGAGCCCGAATTGTCGTCTCTTGGGGCCCTCTGAGGACGCTCTTGGGGCGCCCCTGGGGGGCATCCTCGACCTCTTCTGGGCATCCCATGGGCGCCCTTGGCCGACCTTGGGGCCATCCTGATGCTTCAGAGGCCCATCGGAAGCCACAGGGCGGAACGCCAAACAACATTGCACATCATGAGTTCTTATAGCATCCAGGATGTTGGCCTCTCGGCGGTCTCCTTGGTGCGGCCCGTCGCCACTTGGAGCGGTCTTCTGGTGGGGGGACATGTTCAAGGGCCTAACCAGCCATCTTGGGCTATCTTGAGCCCCCCTCTGGGCACAGGGCCATCATGGGCGATCACCCCGCCACCGTGCTTGGGTTGTGGGTGTGAGGCCTCTTGGATGTTTGTCGGGATCTCGTGGGAGGCCTCTCGGGGGCCTCCTGGAGGCAGTTTTGGGGCCCGGGGGCCTTCGGATAACAAGTATAACATTCAACGCAGAAACTCGGCGACACATGCGGGCACTCTTCTCGATTCCTGGCAAAGCTGCGATTACGTATGCGAATATTCGTAAAACATGCACGTGTATTATATTCACATTTATGTATGTTGCGATTCGTAATGCAGTTGTGTTTAAGTCTCTCTCTCTCTCTCTGTCGATCCTTCCTACCCCCCTTCTCACGTTGACGTCAGCGACGGCCTTTGAGACGAGACGTCGACGGCCTCGACGACGACGGCCGCGACAACGACGCCGCTCCACGACGGTGACGACGGCGCTTGTAACGACGACGTTGGCTTGCTAGGACATGGCCCACGTCTTCAAGCGCGTGGCTGCGGTGGCCCCAGCAGGTCTCTTCCTGAAGGCCCCCGAGGAGGAGGAGGAGCAGGAGGAGGAGGCGCAGGAGGAGGAGGGTTCAGGAGAAAACGACTGTCAGGCAGGCAGGTCCGATCGGACGCCAGGGACCGTCACGCCCCACTCGTGGGGTTGGCAGGAGGTGGAACACTGGACTCGACACAGCGAGGCATCCAGCGGGCGAGGGAGGAGGAGGTAGAGAAACGAAATGGGATGGAAGTCCACAAGGGGGTGCGCAGAGGAATAAGGGATGACAGAGTCGGAGTTCGGGTAGAGGGGGGGAGATGAGAGGAGACGCGAGGAGAGGAGAGGAGAGAGGAGAGAAGGGGAGGGAGGAGTGGAGAGGCGAGGAGGGAGAGGTAAGTAAGGTTTGGGGCTGCGCATGGACGGCCCCCCCAGGCAGTCCCGATCTCAGTAACTTGGCGCCACTTGGGGGATGAGACCGCCCTGGACTATTCGGGGGGCCTGTTCGGGCCAGCCGGGACAACGTTTGGGGAGCTATTTGTCGGGCGTCGGTCGTTGCTTAATTAGTGGGGTGGCGATCAATGGGAGGGGGGAAACATTTGCACCTCTCGTGCCCATGTTGGGCCCAGGTGGCTGTTTTAGGGGCCCTTCTTAGGTAGGGCGCAACAGGCACACCTTTTCCTCACCCCACCAATGCATCGTTCCACCATTGCGCATACGTAGCGCCCGAGTCAGCGCGCAGCCCAAAGTCTTACGACTTCTGTGCCCGCTCCCAATCCGCTTCCCAGAGCTCGGAGAGGTCAACGGCATGGGCCTCACCTTTCTGCAGTTGGCGGCCTCGTCCCTCAACTTCTGGGTGCTAACATTCATGCTGCGCAATTTCCAGGACTCCATATTCTCCAGCCCTGTGCGATGATGATGCTGATGATGATGATGATGATGATGATGCTGATGATGATGATGATGATGATGATGATGCTGATTACGATGATGCTGATGATGATGATGATGATGATGATGGTGATGATGATGATGATGATGCTGACGATGATGATGATGATGATGATGATGATGATGATGATGATGATGATGATGATGATGATTATGATGCTGATTCTTCCGATGAGTATGATGATGGTAAAAACGATGACGATGATGCTGATGATGATGATGCTGATGATTATTACGATGGTGTTGATGAGGGGGACAAGGATGATGATGATGATGATGATGATGATGATGATGATGATGAGGACGGTGACGATGATGATGCTGCTGATGATGCTGATGATGGTGATAGTGATGGTGATGGTGATGATGATTGTTATGTTCATGATGATGATGATGACGTCGCTGATGATTATGCTGAAGATGAGGACGGTGACGATTATGATGATGGTGATGGTGGTGATGGTTGTGCTGATAATTATGACGGTGATGATGGTGATGATGAATGGGGTGGTGTACTTGATGCAGATGATGTAGGTGATGTAGATGATGGTGGTGAAGATGGTGATGGTGTTGATGCTGATGGTGAAGATGCTTATTGGTATGATGCTGATGATGGTGATGATGGTGATGGTGATGATGTTGATGATACTCATAATGCTGGTGATGATGCTGACGATGAGCGTGGTGGTAATGGTTATGATGCTGGTGACGGTGAGTTTGATGGTGACGGTGGTGATCACGTTACATTCGATGATGATGTTGCGATGATGGTGAAGATGATGATGATGATGATGCTGATGTTGATGCTGCTGATGATGATGATGATTTGTCCGTCGCTCTCGCCAGTCAACTTATCGCTCCTGGCATCTCGGATCAGATCTCGCATAAGTCTGGTGCACATTGAGATCATTCCCCAGGTGTGTTCGCAGGGTCGCCGCATTTCAATTTTGTCGACGGTCAAAGTTCATCAGGGCATCAGCCAAGACGTCCACGAGCACGAGTAAATCCTAAAAGTTGGCAACTTCTCGCCGACAGTGCGGCGAAGAGAAGGCATAAGGCAGGAAGCCCGATCAAGGTGGCCCGCGAGAGGCAGGACCTGCAATGAGGTCGAACTTGGCCTCCGAGGCCCCGTTCGCGAACTCGTCCCGGCGTTTCTGCCAGATCTTTCCCACTGCCACCGCTCTCCACTTACCGAAACCCTCGCCGGAGCTTCCGGGCAAGACTTGAGGACATATCCATTGCAGCTTGGAGTTTCGGGCTCCCGTCCCCAGAACGCCCAGGCGCACCAAATATGGATAAACATCTAACCCTTACTGGTTCGATGTTTCGGCCCTGCGTCGGCCCTTCCAGGAAAGTTGATGGGCCTGCTTTCCACCACCACCACCATCACCAAAGTTGGAGGGAAGGAAGGAGGTGGAGGAGGAGGACGAGGAGGAGGAGGAGGAGGACCCCCTCCCCTCCAACTTGTGGTGGTGATGGTGGAAAACATGCCCATCACGATCTTTCATGCACATGCAGAGCGACTCGGCCCTGCGGCGCCCCTTCCAGGAACGTCCAAGACGCACAGGATGTGGATATCATGATTGCTCGCAGGGTGCCGCGCGCCTCCCCCCATGATCACACGCTCTCGCTCGCTCGCCCTGGCCATGCTCGGTGGCCCCCGCGCGGTGTGGTGACCAAACCGCGTGGTCGGGCAAGGCCACTACAGTCGAAGCTTGCCGCTACGGGCGCGAGTCGTACTGCCTGGGCCCCGGGTGGCACCGCCCAGACATGCGATGTGCTGCCAATGACGCTCACACGCGCAGTCCTGCACTCCTCATGCGGGTCGTGTGTGGCGGGCCCCCCTCCCACCCAATTAGGTGCAATCGCTTGAGCGGGGCACCGCATCTCGAGGCGTTGGGCGCCGCCGCGCGGCGCCACGACCGTTCAGCGCGCGCGTCGCAACCATTACAGTCGGAACTGATAGTAACAACGAGCGGCTTCCCAAGAGTACCCTTTCATCCTTGCCTCGTGGGTCATCTTCAGTTAATTTTCAACCGTCCTCGATGGCCAGCCCCGCTCGAGAAGCGTCGGTATGGACGTCCAAGGCCCTTCTACCTGTACCGCGCGTCCCTGCTGTGAGTCTGAACCACTTTCGATGGCCAGCCCCGTTCGAGACGCGTCAGTATGGGCGTCCAAGGCCCTTCCCTCCTTACCGCGCATCCCTGCTGTCAGTCTGAACCACTCTCGATGGCCAGCCCCGCTCGAGAATCTTCGGCATGGACGTCCAAGGCCTTTGCACCCTTGTCGCGCATCGCTATTGTCAGTCTACGATCGGGCGTTGCCCGAAGTGGCCCTGGCCTAAGGTGTCCCAACGAATCCCCGAGGAGCCCCCACGGTGTCCGGAGCACCCCATCACAAGACTTGAGTAGGACTGTCACCATACAGGAGGAAAATTCAACAATAGGCAACAAATAATTGGGGGACGATTGTTCGGCTCGTTTTGGCAACTTTTGAATCGTATGTTCAATTTGTTGTACGAATTTTGAGCGAAAAGCTCGGGGCACCCTGGCCCAGGGGCACCTGTCGTATTTCCCGATCTTCTTCCAGGGCGGGGAAGGCCGCGGCGCCCGACACGTCCTCCAAGTCCGTCGGATCTCCGACATCCCCGAAGCATCCCCGTCCGATTTGTCCCCGTCTTGGTTTCGTGTTGCATGGTGACTCAGCGCGGATTTGGGTTCACCGCGCGGTTTTGGGACTCGGGCCGTTTTTCGGGGACGTGTTGGGCGACGGGGGCCTCCAGGGTCGCAAAGTCGTGTGGTGGCGGACCGCGACGCGAGGTGATTGAGGAGGATTCCGAGGTCCCCGCGCGGTCCGTCACCTCATAGTTCGGGCCCCCGAACATGATCCCAGACATCCAACCACATGATTTTTCCAAACCGCGGCCTCAGAGTTTCCGACCGTTCTCTTGGGAAGTAAGTTTCGTCCGAGATTTGTGGTTGATCGCCCTGGGACTCAAGAGTGGCCCCCTATCGAGCCAAAGTCGATGAAGAACTTCGGGATTCGAAAAATCATACCGCCGGAGATGTGGGATTCGGTCCGTGTGAGTCATAGTTGGCAGTGCGTTCACTGTTTGAGGGAGAAGCGCTCTGATGCGGAGCTGTCCTTTGGTCACTGCATTCGCCACAGCAGCATGCGGCTCTAAGACCTCCAGGCTAATGGCCAAGGGCCCCGTTTGCTGGGAAGTCGGCTGCAGTGGCGCGATGTTTTCGTTTATTGTTGTCGGATGTGCAAATGCTGGACGTCTGATCGACGGCGTGCTCAATCAACCGAAGTCAGCCAGGGGCAGGCGCGACCCCCTAAACATCTCCTGTGTGCACTTGCTGCGTGGGTTCTTTTGCTTTGGGGGGTTCGTTCGAGCAGGCCTCGGGCGGTACTCCTCGCAGGCTCGCTGCCTGCCAGGGAGCAGTGGATGTGTGAAGATTTCAGTCGGGCCTGTCCCTCCACAGGAGGGAATATCCCAAAATAGTCAAAAATTAGTATGGGGACTACCTTTGGACTGTTTTGGGGCATGTATTGGTGTACTTTTCGTATGTTTAAAAATTCGTCGGAAATCGGCCTGTAGGGGGACAGGCCCGACCCAGGTGTAGATTTCGTCGCCCTGCCGGGGGCGCCAAACGGAGCCACTTCCGCCGCCCGCCGAGGCCCCTCCTTCGATGGCGCTGTGGATCAATCCCCTCGTCGCCTGGTTCTCTCGGGTGAGAAACAGGTCTCGGGGTGGTTACTATCGGGGTGGATGTTCTGCCCTCCAAGATCGGGTCTCCAGCGGCCGTTCGGAGCAGGTCCTGGCACACCAGCAGGCTTCTCGGCGAGGCGCAGCTGCTGGCGAGCATCCCGAGGCCGGAACACCGCCGCGGACCCATGAGAACGCCCGAAAGTTTGGAAGCTCGAACCTCGATTCTCGGCGAGGCGCAGCTGTTGGCGAACATCCGGAGGCTGGAGAACCGCCGCGAACCTCGAACCTCGATCCCCGGACCCGCCCTCAGGACCAGGCCATAGCCTTCGTCTTGAGCTTCGATCCCCGAACCTAGAACCTCAAACCTCGAACCGAACCTGGAACCTGGACCCCCTCGACCAGGCCAGGATCATCGAACCTCGAACCTGGAGCCTCGATCCCCCACGCCGCCCCCGCCCCGAGGACAGGCAGGGTCCATTTCGATCCGATCGATCCGATTCCTGTATTCCGAC